CTCTCTCTCTCTCTCTCTCTCTCTCTCTCTCTCTCTCTCTCTCTCTCACTGTGTGTGTGTGTGTGTGTGTGCGTGTGTGTGTGTTGAGATAGGGTTTCTGTTTAACAGCCCTGGCTGTCCTGGAACTCTGCCGTCCTGGAACTCTGCCTCCCAAGTGCTGGGATTAAAAGCATGCACCATCACGCAGGGCTTAAAACATTCCAACATTAAAAATTCCTACAGTCTTTAAAAATGCAAACACTTGAAAGTTCAAAGTCTCTTTAAAATATTCAAAATTTGATAAAACTCCAAAGTTTCCTTAAAGTACAAAGTATCTCAAATGTTGGATACCTGTATTATTCCATGAGGGAATAACCAGGGCCCAGTCACAATCAAATAAAAACAAAACCAAAGTACAACAGTATAAACTTTAATGTCAGAATTCTGGGATTTACTCACAATCTTCTGGGCTCCAAAGGACTTGGCAGTGACATTTCTCTGACTCTATCATACACAATACATAAACTGTCTCCTCGGAGGCACAAGCCCAAGCAGTTTCACTTCATGGATGCTGCTGTCCTTGGTGGTCATCCTAAAATAGTAACATCTTCAAAATATTGGGGTCTCCACTGCAACTGGGTTGCACCTTTATTAGGAGCCTCACCTGGGCTCTTTTCAGGGACTCTGACCTTACTACATGGCGCTACACCTAAACTTCCATCTGTAACTATCAGTCCTAGGGCTTCGAGGACTACACTGGGGCTACACATTCACTAATGGCCTCTACCAGTACCAAGCCTCAGCTGCTCTCCATGACCCCTTTGTCCTCAAGACCAGGGCCACCTGGGAAACTCTTGCAGAAGTTGGCTGCCAAAATGAGATGCATCCTTGGCCCTCTCTGAAATACGGGTCTTGTGGGCTGACCCCAAGGAAATGCTGCTGCCTCCCTCCCCATCAGCCCTCCAGGATCTATGTCAGATGTAGAGCAGGCTAGCCTTGAACTCATAGAGATCCTTCTGCCACTGCTTCCTGAGTGCTGGCATTAAAAGTTTGTGCCATCAAGTCCAGCTACTGGTCTCTTCTTAATTACAACCAATTTTCAACTGATAATCAGCATCAACTATCCTAGTAATGCTAAGGCTCTTACTTGGTGGTACTGGACACTTGTTAATCACAGCCAACACTTAAGTTCCAGCTGATGAGGCTCAAGAGTCTTTAAGAGACTCTCAAAACTTCTCTCTGAATTTTTTATAACCCAGGCTTTCATTGTCTTCATCACTCTACTTCCAAGCTGGCATACAACAGTCCACTAAGCTCTCAGCATTCAACAGTTTTTCTAGTACCCTCAGAATCCTCCCCCAAAACATGGCCAAGTCTATAAATATCCTCACTATCTGGTAAAACTTTGTGTCAGTTTCTATTGATGTGATAAAAACTCCATGACCAAGAGCAGTTTGCAGGGGAGTTTATTTCAGCTTATGTTTCCATCACTGAGGGAAGCCAGGGGAGGAAGGCAAACAGGGCAGGAACCTGAAGTCAGGACTTGAGGCAAAGGACACAGAGGAGTCCTGCTTACGCTTGCTCCTCATGACTCGCTCAGTTTGCTTTCTTATATATACCCAGAAATAGCACTGCCCACTGAGGCTGGGACCTCCTCACATGGGATCCATATGTAAAATATGATTGTTTTAAAAAATAAAAAGAAAATACCCCACAAGCCAGTCTGGTAGTGGCATTTTCTCAACTCATGTTCTCTTCCCAAATGACTTTAGCTTGGGTCAAGGTTACAATAAACTAGCCAAAATACCTAGGTTGGTATAATTTTTCTACATGCTTTTCATCTATCACTTCTTTTACTTCTCAAAACAAAATGTCAAATAGGTGAGGAAATCCCAATTTTACAAGTAGAAGACAAAGCAATCTAAACACACAGCTTCTAAGTGCTCGATAGCCTAGGACCCACCTTAGACTTGTATCGACTCTTCAGTGAACCGATGCAGCACAATTCTGACATGCAAGGCTAACTCTAAATTGAAAATGAAAAGGCAAACTACAGTTTTAAAAGCTTCAGGTGTAAAGGAAAGCAAGCACACTCCAGGGATTATTATAGAGTTTTGGCTCTCAAGTGGGGAGGTGGAGAAGCTCAAATGTAACTTGACATACACTTGTAAAACTGTATTGCTACATTTCTGGTGCTTGAAACAACGTGGCATGTCAGGTCTGAAAAGATGTGAAGAGTGAGTTAATTTTCTTCATTACCAAGACAGCAAAGATGGTGCCTGACCTCAGGAGTTTCTCCTGCTTCCTCCTACTGCAGTAAAAGATGAGAGGAAAGGGCACAAGAGAAACTGACAGACACATCACCCTAGACCAATCTCAAAATATCCTAAGTAAAATAAATTAGTTTCAAAAGGTTGCACAGTGTGGTACTGTTTAAAATACTACTGAAGACAGATGCATGTAGACCATATTAGTGGTTTTCACGAGAAAGGGCACACAATGAGGATATGGTTCACAAGAGTTATTGGACATAGTGGACCTATTTGGTACCCTATTGTGAAGTTAAAACTCACATAAGTATGCAAAACAGGAAAAAAAGTAATGTTTACCATAAAATCTTTAAAAAGTTTAAGCCCCCAAAAGGCAAGGAGATTATTGATTTCACGAAGTTCATGGAAAAAAAAAAAAACAACAACAACAAAAAACAGATGAACTAAAACTAAAGTGGACAGAGGAAGCTGTAATCGGAAGAAGCTGTAGATCAGTACGAAGCATGCCTGTTGGTCCACGGTTCCTCAGAAGCTTAGATCTGGAGCGAAAGTTACAGCAAAGGATAGACTTGGGGATAGGCCTGAAAATGCCCAGCTGAAAAACATACACAACAAAACAGATGTCTAAGGTGCATTTTTCTCAGTCAAACTGCAATTCTGGTCAAAAGTCATGGTTTAGGAGCTCACAGGCCCCAGGGGTGATGTACTACTGTTATTCTGCTAAAAGGACACAGAATCAAAATGTCCTCAAAATTTCTATTTTTACACCCATAGATTAGTATAGTTAATCAGAGACATTTCTTCACACAGTGGACGGCAGTTAACACAAACTCACAACTGACGATGCCGAGAGTAAATGTCAATAGAACGTTCAGATAAAAATGGGACATCTACATCACTCAACAAGACTCATCATGGGAGTCAGGGTGGAAAGACTAGAAAAGCCAAAGACTGGGGAGAACAGAAACAAAATGCACGCGTGCACACACATACACACACTCGAGCATGAAGCACTAAAGCACACACACACACACCAAACAGGACACAGGACAACTACATAGCAATCTGAAAGGGCCAGCATCTAATAACAGATTCATTAAAAGTAGTACAGAGAAAATTGCTTTTGACCTGAAACTGTATATGCAGTCAAGCTATTAGTGAAATATGAATGTTAAAAGGGATTTATAAGTAATTTACTTTTAATTAAAAAATGACATTTATTTTGTATGTCTGTGTGTGTAAGTCTCTGGGAAACAAAAGGAAATTTCTGTTAAATTATTTTTTTTTCATCATAACAGCTTTAGAATAACTATCTGACTTTGGAAACAGCATATAACTTACTTTTATATATAAAAGTAAATAAAGTCACCATGGTCTCATTTGGTTTATAGACAATGTTATTTATTTTAAAATTTCAAATGACATGATGAAAAATGTGCTTTTCACGTTTATTGACTGATGGGTGCATGGACCAAAGTGAGCTTTAAAATATGTTACCAAATCATCCAAATTCTACAACAGGCATTTATACATCAAAACTTTGTAACAGCAACACCTTTACCCCCAACACACTTAGAACTACCATGCTCACAAAGAACAAAAAGCCTGCAACTTAAAAAGCAGATGTACTAACCCTCAAGCAGTGGTTCTTCCATGCAGACAGCTGAGCGTAACTGTCAAGTCCCACCTCTCACCTGCTCCTGCTTTGTTAGGGCTTCGGTTACCGCCTCCTTGACTTCATTGCTATCACTGTCCATTCCCCTCGGTATAATACCAACCTTAGCCAGTCTGCCTAGAAGTTGGGTAACAATCTTACCATTTCCTGGTAAGAATAGATGATCTTCAGTAATATAAGTCTTGTGATTATGTTGTCAGTGATTGATAAATCTAATAATTTGATAATTGATGACATTTTATCAAATGTACACATGGAGAAGTTAAAACAGTGGTTCTCAATCTTCCTAATGATGCAACCTCTTAATATACTTCCTCATGTTGTGGTGACCATAAGATTATTTCATAGCTACTTCATAACTGTAATTTTGCTACTATTGCGAATAGTAATATAAGTATCTGATATGCAGGATATCTGATATATGATCACTGTGGGGGTCATGACCCACAGGTTGACAACCATGGAGTTAAAACCTGGTCTCCCTAAGCCAGGTTAAAACTGAGCACTAACCATTAGCAAGAACAAAGGGACATTGTTATTTTAATAAGACACTTAAGCATAGCACAATTAATTTTGTTCACTTTTATTAATACAAACAGAATGTTAACTTTTAATATAACTAAGGTTACAAATAAACTGTCACTATCCAATAAACAAATAATAGTCACTTGACTCTTAATTGAATTATTCTCTATTAGAACAGTTATTTTCTCCAGTTTATTTTAAACTGCCTTATGATTTCAATGAAACGTCTTAGCTTTTGCTTATTGAATAATTTTTTTCAGTTGGAAAATTTCTCATGCCAAAACACTTTCTTGCAAATTAACACATTTTTCTAAGCCTTCTGCTTAGTTGCCTTAATGCCATCAACTTTTCTACACATGAATGTCCCATTTTCTTCATATATACAATAGTATTTAATTTCCAATGACAGGAGCCAGGGAAGAATACAGATCATCAATGCACTTGTAAAACAGAAAGTTTCCATTGTACTTTTAAAGACTGCATCTTCTCCAGGGTGTGAAAATGTGAGGCCTCTCCAGTGCTGCTTCAGATCATGTGGCCCAGGAAGAGAGATGCAGGTTAGCAGTCCTCTTTAAACGGCACTCACTCTGGGAAGACCGGCAGAAACATCTCACTCTTAGGAAGAATCCCCCAAATAAACCAAACATCACATGCAAGAGGGACAATTTTCAGAATAATAGCATTCCAAATGATTGACAATAGCTTTAGAGAAAGAAGAACTTAAGTCCTGAGAAAATTTTGCATATCCATCAATAAAGTAACCAATGCAAATAAAATTTTTATAAGTTAAAAGTCACCATGAATTACAATCTCTTGTAACAGAATTTCATATCATACAAAGCTTAAGTGTGGCACGTTTCTACTATGAACCATTGATTTTTTTTGTTATTTTAAGCACATATTAATTTAAACATTACTCAGACTTTAAAATATAGCCGAAGGAAATCATAACAAAGTCTAAAAACCCAAATAATTTACTACATAAATATGAATTACTTTAGTGTAAAAACAATTAAGTGATTTCAATGCAATGAAGTCAACTCTGATTAATACATACATTTTCATGCATGTGAAAAAATAATTTACATTCACTTCAGGAATAACTTCCATAGCAAACAAATTACAGCATTTATTCAATAAAGGAATATTAAAATAATTCTAGTTAGAAAATAAAATAACTTCAATCAGATATATTATAATTTTTATCATGTAGATACTCCAAATCCCTGTGCCCCCCCCAAATTTAAGTAGGAAATGTATAGAACATCTTTTTTAAGGTTTATCTGAGGAAAACTAATCAAAACATTACCTTCATTAAAGAGAATATATATCTATATACATATCCACATTTGTTTGACCTGTATGCAAAAATTTAATGAAATATGGAAGAAATTAGGATTTCAATTTTTTCTGGGCTATAATATTAGTACTAAGTCAAAATACTTACCTGCTAAGTAAGAACAGCTTGAGGTATTTCCAAGGCAGAACAATTATCTTAACACTACACACCACAATAATGAAAAGTCTCTCTTGAACATTTACACCTGGTTTACAATTGACAGAGGATGAGGGCTTGCCAAGCATCTGTCCCATCTCACCTAAAGTCTTTCTTCCCCTACGAAGTATAAGCTTCCAGGGAGAAGATCACATAAAAACATTTCAAGTAGCTTGGACTCCGGAATGCAACATTTCAGTCAAATTAAAAGGGAATTTAAAATTCTACCCGAAACCTACCTGACCTCTTTAGATATTAATAATTTCTATACTGGACAAGTGAAGTACATTTTCTGAAATCAAAGTCATTATCAAATAACTGTAATAGAGAAACTGAACACATGACCCCCTCAACAAGGAGGGATCTTCAGCCTTTACACACGACACAAGAAAATGAAGTGCTTTTACTTATGAGACTTTCTACAATCTCAACTGTAACCAAATTTCAAAAGGTTAGTAAGTCAAACACTCACACATCTCAGAATCCCTTTCTCCACACAGTAGGTACATGTAACCAACATCATGTCAATGTAATGTTATCAACACAGCACAAGCATTTAAGCAGTAGACTCATTTCACATGACAGAGGCTGTATGCATCACACGTGGCCTGTCCCAATAAAAAGCAGACATTAGAATGCCATTTTAGCAGTTACAATATTGATATGATCAATATAACTAATTTTTATACCTGTCATATATTTTCATAAGTCATCCATATGTAAGAAGCAAAGGACAAAGGCTGTTTTGTTTTGTAAATTTATGTGCCAACTTCAAAATTATGTGACATCAGCATTCAAAACCTATGTTGAAGAGGACTGGCCTTGATGCACATGCAGTAGATTTGTTTTCAGAATATAAAATTAAATGGTGATGTCAGCAGTATTACTACTGTTTCTATATTTATGATTAATTACTAGTAGTACAACTCCCAGAAGGAAGGAGATGGATCCAATAGTGATGTAAGCAATTCCCAAAAATGGATTTTTTCCTCCCATCCACGAAATAGTGCTTAAGATCATCCGTTTTCGTCCATCAAAAGAATGTACGGGGTAATCTGATAAGGGTATAGGAAGACTTTTTGTCTGTGGTACTTGGTATTTAAAACACAAATTTTAAAGTTAACATTTAATGCCTATACTTCACTTATATAATTCTATTACACGAATCCTTGCTTGTATATTCTGAATCACAATAAACAGAATAGACAGACAGACAGGCAGGCAGGCAGATAGACAGACGGAGGGATGGACGGACAGATGGATGGAAGTATATTCTTTTGTTGTTTTTGAGACAGGGTCTCACTATGTAGCTCTGGCTGTTCTGGAACTATGTAGACAAGGCTGGTCTTGAAGTCACAAAAGATCAGCCTGACTCTTATTTCTAAGTGCTGGAATTAAAGGCATGTGCCTCTATGTGCTACCAATAAAACCAACTTAAAAATCTAATTTAGGAGTTGGGTAGTGGTGGCACACGCCTTTAATTCCAGCACTCGGGAGGCAGAGGCAGGCAGATCTCTATGAGTTCGAGGCTAGCCTGGTCTACAAGAGCTAGTTCCAGGACAGACACCAAAACTACAGAGAAACCTTGTCTTGAAAAAAAAAATCTAATTTAGAAAAATTTCTCCATATATAACTAGATATTAAACCCAGGGCAAGGCACTCTATCCCTGATAAACACTTCCAGACCTGATCTAGTGAAATAATATTACTAGTAAGGGCCAAAATGTGTTATCAAAACAACGAAATTCAGATCTATATAGTATCTTGGGTAATTTTGCTCTTTTTTATTACCTAAGAGAGATTAAAGGCTTCAAAGCAATGTAATATGGAAAAATACTTCAGATGAGCAGCGATGATGCCCACATAGGATGTTAACAGACGAAAAAAGCAGAAAAGAATCTGAAATCTTGAGCTCAAAGAGCAAGTTTAAGCATGTAGCCACAAGACAGAGCACTCGAAGTAAAGTGTCACAAAGCATGATGCTCAAGTTTTAGCCGGCTCACTTGATGCCATAACAAAACCCATGTTCTGAAAGAACTGACAGCTCAGACAGTGCAGAAGTCAAAAGTGACTGTTAAGGAGAGACCAGGGAGGAAAGAGCAGTGTGCTGGGATGAACATGGCCCATTCTAGGGTGCTGGCAAGAGAGAAGACAAAACTAACACTACAATTTGAATTGAAACTCAGGGATGCATAATGAGAGCCAGTCTCAAACAACAAACAAGCAAAACAAACAAAGAATGTACTTATGGTTTATCCAGATAATAAAAAGTGCTAAAATCCAACACACATTTAAAACATTAATATTTGGGAATCTTTATGCTTATAGTGTATACTTAAATAATGGGCAAAATACTTAAAAACACTGAACTTTGTTAAGGCTAAAAGGAACTGTCCAGTATTTCTTTTTTATAAAAGTCTGCTTCTGGCCTAAATAGATCAACCAGTGGGTAAAAGCACTTGATGTACAAGCATGATGAGGTAAGTTCAATTCCTGGAACCCATACAAAAAAGTGACAAGAAAAAAAATCAACTCCACAAAGTTGTCCTTTTACCTCCACACACGTACCTTGGCACATGTGCACATATCATACATGAATATGTAACAATGGAGATATTTAAAATTAAAAATGGAAGTATATTCAACTACCAACACCACAAAATAAATAAATCTAGAGTACAAAGTAACATGTCACATAACTGACATAAGACAATGAAAGTCTTTTAAACTCTATGTGTGCACACAACCATAAAAAAAGGATACTGTATGTGATGTTCAAATAGTACTGTCCAGCTGGTAATGTTGGATGTAAATCATTTCTCCGCTCTATAAGACGATACAACTTACGAAAAGTAGGTAATGCTGCTGTACGCATCCAAACAATGAAGTCCTCATTTATGAATCCATTGTTATCCTCATCAGGGTCTAGCATAAAAACTGGTTTATGCCAGTTTACTGGCTTTATTGTATCTTGAAGATAATTTGGGGAGGGAGAGAGATGTGAAAATAAAATATTCAATTCTATGAACAGTTTCAATGAAAATGCATAGTACTAAAAAAGGAAAACAATATAAAACATAATCTGAATATTATTAAAGGTATAAATATATCCACATCCTAAGAATATCTTAAAATCTAAAGAAAAGCCAATTCTATCTATAACAAAAACTAAAAAGACAATTGCTATCTCAAGAGATTACAAAAAGGATACTAAATAAAAGACAGATTACTTAATGCAAAAACATAATGTTAAGAAACACATGGGTCAGTGAGACGGCTCAGCAGGTAACGGCACTTGCCACCAGATCTGAGGAACAGAGTTCAAACCAAGGACCACATGGTTAAAAGGAAGAACAGATTCCCACAAGCTCTTCTGACTTCCACATATGCACTATTACACATGCATATATATATATATACATATGTTTATAAACACACATACAAAATAAATATACAAGTACACAAATAAACTTTAAAAAGAAATATGCAATACAAAACTAAGGCAGCATAGAAACAAAAATATATGTGCATTATAAATGAGGGCCGATTAAAACAAACTCTGTCACAGTTTGTAAAGACTACAGCTGGAAACACCAAAGAAATTCAAATCAATGAAAAGGACACATTTCCTTTACAATTTTAGTACATATGAACATTTACATAACTTAGTATAATGCTGAGAAAGAAAACGCTGTTCTTTAAAAAAATAAATAAATTAAGCTGGGCAGCAGTGCTGCAGCAGAGGCAGAGGCAGGTGAATCTCTGTGACTTCGAAGCCAGCCTTGTCTACAAAGTGAGTTCCAGGACAGGCTCCAAAGCTACAGAGAAACCCTATCTTGAAAAACTAAAAATAAAAATATAAATAAATAAATTAAGATTCTGAAGACAAAATTTCGGTTACATTACTAAAACTACTAGGTTTTGAACAAGAGGGGATATTGGTCATGCTTTACCTTTAAATTTTTCTTCGAGGCTTTCTTTTCCAGGTGGGTTTCTGAATTTCACATTTTTATCTGTCCACCAAGCAATACCTTTTCTCTTCAAAGGAATTTGTACAGGTGTAGGATCAGACTCATTGGCAACCAGAAACAATTCTAATGTGTCTAAGCACAAGGAACAGAAGCTATTATTAACATCTACTAGAATCCATAGCATCTTATTACTCTATGAGAAATGAGAACCTGGGACTTGCTCTGAAAGTAGGTAACAGAGAAGGCATACACGTCCGTTCGAACAACTTTAGAATCTTCCTTTACTAGACATCTAGGTCACTTTCCTGAATGATTAGCTGACATTAGAAGATCAAGAATTTTAATATCACTCCAAATAAAAGGGCAATAGCACCCTTTTTCTCTTCTCTTCTCTTTGGCTATTGTTGAATTCCTAATAGCGCCTGCCTTTCCCATTTTCTGTACTTGGTAATCACACATGGTATTCAGTTTCTGAAATATGGTTGGTACAAATGAACAAGTTATGTTGAACCAGCTATCAGGGACACAGTGTAAACACACACACAAAAAAATATTTCATTAATGTTTATATTCTAAAATGATACTATTTGGGGGGCACTGGACTAAATAAATTATTCAAGCTAATTTTACTTGTTTCCTTTGAGGGTTTTTAAAATAAGTACTAGAAAATTTGAAATACTTTGTATTTATGGTTTGAATTATATTGCAATAAGGCAATACATACCTACATAATCAACTATAACTCCCTTTTAATGGTATGAATCAGTGAAAGTAGCTCTGTGGTTTTTACTTTTTTATAAGAAATAGGAAGAGTCTATTTTCTTCTCAGAGATAGGAATCTATTTTTTAAAGGGAAGCCACAGAGAATTTAAATCCTATTCATTATCTGAGCATTTATCTTGAAGGTGAATTTCATAATTTCATTCATATTACTATACTATTACACAGTTTCCTACTCACAAGCATAGTTTCCTAACCATCTGCCTACATGGATGTTTGTATCTAGCATACCGTTAAACATGCTGTTGGCAATAGCTCCACATGGAGCAATTGGTTTGTCTTCATTTCTTCGATAAGGTTCACATTCCTTACTTGGATTCTAGTTTCCAGGACAAAAAAGAAAGAGAGAAAGAAACTGTCATCTATAGCTCTGGAGAAATGATGAGCTACTCCTAATTACTAATTAAAAATTCTGCCCCTGTATTTTCCCCACTCATAAAATATGAGTCTGTAAAGAAAACAAGCTCTAAACTAACACATTTAAATACTCAAAATATTCTTTAATGTCACAGCACTTTTTAAATACAATGCTCATTCAACTAGATCTACACAGATATACATGACTTAACAAAATTAATATTTTGATTTTCCTATCAACATAGAAACCACAACCACAAAGATTTCTGATTGAGAAAATCTAAATGACTTCTCAACCCAGCTGTGATACCCAATAAAGGGCATAGTAGCTGGGAGTAAAGATATTCTATATTTATAAAAACTGAATACAACCAACGCTTCAAATTTTGTAACTTTGGTTAAATCGAAACAATAAGACCCAAACAGAACACACTTACACACATCATTCATCAGAACCCCGTCCCAAACAGAGCTAGAGCCCAAACTCCCAATGACTACCAGAAACGAACAGGGAGTGGTGGGCTCGAGAAGTTATTTTGTGAAAAAGCATTTTAACTAAAAACTTCTGTCAAAATTAAACATAATAAGTAATACTTTAGCTTCCCATGAGATTACATACTTTAATATTTCACAATGAATATTTATGACACTCCTATTTCACAGATGCCACATTTCTGTCTGTATATCATCATTTTACTTACAAGCAAAGCACTAGGGTCTCCATTTAACTGGCTATCATCTCGAGATTTCACATAACGACGATGATTTTGATAGAAGTTAGACAGTCCATAATACATAAACACATTGCCCTAGAGAAAATAGAAAGGAAAATTTTTTTAACAAAAAAAATTTGTTTCTTATTTTGTAAAACTTAAGTAATCTGTACTAGTGTGGGACAATGGTCTGTATTCTGCCAGTTATATTTTAAATAAATGCTGATTGGCCAGTAGCCAGGCAGGAAGTATAGGTGGGACAACCAGACAGGAGATAGAGGCAGGTCAATGAGAACAGGAGAATTCTGGAAAGAGGAAAGCTTGTCTGCAGTTGTGACCCCGCCACAGAAGAAGCAAGATGTGACTGCCTTGCTGAATAAGGTACCAAGAGCCAAGTGGCCAACATAGACAAGAATAATGGGCTAATATAAGTTAAAAGAGTTAATAAGAAGCCTGAGCTAACGGGCCAATCAGTTGATAACTAATGTAGATTTCTGTGTGATTTCTTTGGGACTTAACGACTGTGGGAACCAGGCAGGACAGAAAACTGATACTGAGGTAAAATAGCAACAAATTATACAACAAAAATTGTACAATTAAATATAAATAAATTCATAGTAGAACAACTATACTCTAGCTCTTAAATTCTTAAGTTTTAAAAGAAGGGGAAATATTACTACCTTTGAATCAGGTACTGAACTAAGCAGTCCTAGTACACTGCACTAACTGGCTTAGGAAAGCTATTTAAAAAGTACTTAAAATCACTGGAATTACAGTTGTGATAGAGTATTTGCCTGGAATGTTCATGTGTAAGGCCCTGAATTCAATCTTCAACACCATAAAAGCAAGTAAAAACACAAAAATAAATTGTGCAATTGTAAATAAAGTTAAAGAAGTTATGCTACAAAACACACAACTTTTAAAATATCCTTAAAGTGTTGTGTGCAGTCTGGAGAAATGGCTCACTAGGTAAAGTGTTGCTTGTGCAAGCATGAGGACCTCAGTGTGAATCCCAGCACCAACATAAAAGTCAGGCATGGCAACATTCGTCTATAATCCCAGAGATGGAGAAGGATGGGGATGGAGGGAAAGGAGGAGATAGGCAAATCCAGGAACCTTCTGGCTAGCCAGTTTAATTTAAATGACAAGCTCCAGGTTCAGAGAGAAACTTGTCTCATAAAATAAGGTGACAGAAAGATATGCACACAGCATACTGCACACCTACACACAAAATACACAAATTTTTAATTTAAACAGGATGTTACATATACTATTTTTCCTATTTATTAAATTTTAAAGTTAGTGTACCAAATATTTTATAATATTATTTTTATACATATATATCCTTTTACTTTGCTCATACTTTTGCTCATTACTCTGCCTCCCACCTTGCATTGGTCCCCTTCTGTCCTCCAAATATTAATCCCATGCCATAGACTGCTAGCAATTAGTAAATTAGTAGTTGCTAAAATATATTAAGTTATAATGCTTTATAATAATAATCAAGAGTGGTACTCTTCTGGAGTCAACTTCAAAAATATCTTGGGGAAAATATATTGAATTAACTACAAGGTGCTAAGAAACCATCTGATTAGCTGTAGAAAAAATGTTATTTCTCCTTTCTGATTACAGCCTCTCTAGAGAGAGAAAGAGAAAGAATGGGATATAAAGAGAATACACACACACACACACACACACACGTTTCATTTAAAGACTTGAATACTGATGGGTTTGGTGGAAGAAGCATGTAATCCCAGTACTCAGGAGGCAAATGGAGGATTATTAATTCCAAGCCAACCTGAGTTACACAGCAAGCCTAATGCTGACCTAGAATACATAATGAAATTGTACATTAAAAAGTAAATAAATGAATGAAAATGTTGATTTTTAAATAGCAAACCATAAACTCTTCCACTCTACACAAAAGAGGAGATAACAGAACTCCTAACTTGTTCAAACTCTCCCATTTCTTCAATTTTGCAAAAACCAAGACTTGCAGCATCTTTATAGTTTGCTCACCACACTGAAACTGCGCTTTTCAGTCTTCTCTCAAAAGGGTTTTCACAGCTTTGCCCAAAGCCGAAGGCACTGTTACCTCAGTGCAAGAGCATCAATACCCACTAGATGGCTTTCATCCACAAGAAGCTACTAAAATTATCACTACCTGTAGAAAATCTAAACAAGGAAACTTAAACCTTGGCACGAACTGTGTGACAGCTTTGCTTCCTGAAGAATGTTTTTAAACTGCATTTTCAGGTAAAGAGCAGGAAAAACTCTATCCGTGCCAATTCTGAAATTTTATGTCCTTTCCCATATGCTCAGTTAACAAGAACAGAAACCAGTATTATTACTGGATGGGCGCACGAACACATGCACACACCCACACCTATACCCACACAAACATAGGCTGTGTCCAAATACCAAACTATAAAATATCAATAAACTTATAACTTTAAAATACAAGCACAAGATTTCTACTATTAAAAATGTAGCTATGAGTATCAAAAAGATGCCTTAAATCTTGTCAACAAAATATTAAAAGGCAAAGAATTCAAATAATGAATTTAATTATCAGATTTAATTAATTTAATTATGCAAAAACTAGATATATAGAATAATCTTCAAATGTCTATAGATTCAAATAAACTAAGCCGATTTCCCAATACAAATTAAGAATCAAAAAAATCTATTAGTATTTTGTAAAGCAAGCCTTGTCTAACATAATACTTTAAGACACAAACCTCAAATGACTGCTCCAGTGTGAAGTTAATGGTACAAACACAAGATGTTACATTCGGAGACAAACATTTATTGCAGGGGCTGGAAGGTTCTGTTCCAGTGTAATCAATCTGCAAGAGAAAAAAGTTGAGCAAGCAATTCCTTGGAGCAAAGAGAAACCTAAAACTTACATAATCTACTATTAAAAGAAAAAGTAAGTCCAACAAAGCAATGTGCATCCTAGACAAAAACTGCTGCTGTGTCCTTTAACAATGTGAGGCATTAAATACGAAAGAAGCTTTTGTGTACTGTTTTCAAAGTACTCCCTTTACACCCAAAAAAATCTATGTACTGACAGAACTGTAAGCATAAGATTCGAAAACACGACTTATAAAGATGTAAATGGCTACAAGCTCTAAACTACTAAAATGCCAGCCAGGTTCATAGAGATAAAAACTTGTCTTCTTAAATATGACAATTTTAAATATTCTCATAGTCACCTCTGCTTTCCACAGAACATTTCCAAATTGAGGGGGAAAAAAAAAGAAAGGGGACGGGAGGAGGGAAGGAAACCTATGAGCTCAGAAGGTAACTCATGGTAGAATGCTGGCCTTGCATGCACAAGGAACGTACTTGATCCCCAGAACCATCAGAAATTGCAGAATTCTTCTCCCCACCAAACCTGGTGCTAAGTCTGTCACCAATTTGACCTTGTTTCCTGCGTGCTTCAGCACAGGAATATCCCAGTGACTGTAGTTTCTTAGTTACTTGGGTGTGCCCTTGATTCACACCAGAATTTACATGAAAACAAGATTATTCACTGGTCCCAGAAAGACCAAACCTGTGATCAGGGGCTTTGGCTCAGCAAAACCTCTATGGAGAGAAGTAGGGCTGTAAATGTATACTTAAACTACTATGCAGCCAGTATTCAATCAATTATGCCTAATCATGCAGTCCTGCACTTCAGTCATATACTGTTGCACAGGGAGCTTTCTGGTTGATAAGGCACAGATATGCTAGGAACTTGATGTACCCTAAGTACACAGGGAGAAGGCAAAAAAGCTCTATATTCAGACCCCACCCTTTGTGGTTCTTCCAAAAACCTTCCTCTTTTCTAGTATATGGCATTTTAAGAAGGGCAATCTTGTGAGAGGCAGGGAGATGAGATCATGGGAGCCCCATGACTTTGGAGCAAGAAGTGTGTTTAGCCTAGGGAACTGTTTTGTATTCAAAGTAAGGCCAGTTATTAGGGACTATGCTTTGAACCTGTAGCATCTGATGCTAACTCTGTCAAAACTGAATTTTACAATACCAGGTAAAGTCAGAAGACCAGTCCTCGTGCCCCAAATTATTCTTTTCCATTATAAATAAGAAAAAAATTAAACACACTTTTTTTAAAGAGTATTTTTAGTAGAATCCCCATATAGCTTCTGTGTGTAGATGCACAGGCTAACTTGTTACGTTTGGTTAGGAAGTGTCACCTCAAAAGAGCCTATATGCTGGGATCTTGCTTCTAGCTGGAGTGCTATTTTGTGAAGCTCTAGAAACTAAGAAGTGGGCCTGGCTAGAAGCAAGAGGCTGGATAAGGTCCTAGGTAGTAGCATCCTGTCCCTGTCCACCTCCTCTAACTACTTCCTCATGAGTATTCACCATGAGTAACCCCTGCTACATGTCCCTGCTACCATGATGCTCTGTCTCATTTTAGACACAGGAACAAAGCAAGTTATGAGCTGAATGTCTGAAGCTGTAAGCCAACATGAATGAATCTTTCCTTCCTTGAGTTGTTTTGCTCAGGTAACTACTACATTCACAATTAATATCTTCCCCCAAAGTGAGTTATTACAACTGTAAATGAACACTGACATTATTACAATCTTAAGTTTATAGTTTAAGGTTCACTCTTGGTTGGCAGTTAACAATAGAGAATTATATTTAATATAATATAAAATACTTCAACTGACTTTTAAAAAGTTCTGTCTAGACGGGTGGTTGTGGCACGCCTTTAATCCCAGCACTGGGGAGGCAGGCGGATCTCTGTAAATTCAAGGCCAGGCTACTCTACAAAAGCTAGTTCCAGGACAGGCTCCAAAGCTACAGAGAAACCCTGTCTCGAAAAAACAAACAAACAAACAAACAAACAAACAAAAAGCATGACTTTCATCTATTCATCCTCTGTATTAAATCATTGTAAGCACTGCCTTTTTTACTGTCCTCAGTTTTGTCTTTTCCAAAGTTGGAGTCATACTATAGGTAGCCTTCGCATACTGGCTTCACTTGGTAATCTGCACTTAAGTTTCCCCTACATCTTTGCGGAGTTTGATGTACTATAGTTTATTTATTCACCTACTAAAAGACCAAATTGGTCTTGAATGCACAAAGATCCTCCTGCCTCTGCCTCCAGAGAGCTAGACTAAAGGATGTACTACCATGCCTAGCAGTCTACAGTACTTTTACAGCAGTCCCCAGTGGTTACGGCCCTTTCTGTCTTCTTTGAGGATGTGTCTAATCAGGTCTTGTGCTCACTTTTATCAGGCTCCTTCGTTTTCATATTGTAAGTGTTCTTTAACAATTACCAGGTATTATTTTAAATTATTTTCTGTCAGTCTTATGACTTTTCTTCTAAATCTTGATAAGAATAAACAGTCCAAAAATTTAAAATAAAATAGTTTATAGTAGAAAAAAATTTAAATTAAAATTTGCACCTAGAAAACAGAATCACCATATAAATTATAAAGTAACTTTTAAAAACCTACAATGGCCTAAGAAAACTTGGTTTTATCAAATTGTTAATGTCTTGTACAATTGTTTTCCACAGAAGCTTGTTAACTAGTAGAGCTGTGTTTTAATTATTTTTCATTACAAATATCACCAATAAACAAGGCGTGTAACTAAAAATAGAAAACTAAATGAAGACAGAAAAGCACACATGAATTTCATTAGACCAGCATACTACAACTCTGTACCAAAGCCTGCTTGTACACATCAGTCCACTTACATACTAAATTTATGTCAGAATAAGTCACAAAGGAAATTGTACTTTTAATTTCACATTTTCTTTCTCTTAAGACTTACCTAAGAAATCAGTGTAGAAACCTTTCAAATCAGTTTTCCCCCACATATCAATACCATTACTTAGGGTTCCCCAGCACATGCTATTTCGTGGCAATATATCACAATAAAATACATTCTAAGAGACTGAAACTTTGCGGGACCTCACAGTCAGAATTAATAATATACCTTAGGGTCACTTTTGACAGCTATCCACTGTGTACTCAGCCTGTTTGTTTAACCTGCTTTTAAGAGAACAAAGTAGCAATCAACCTTAAGTGCCTGAGATTTCCCATTGTATCACAATGTTTACAATCAATTGTAATCAACAGTTACAATCTAAGTAGTACATAGCTGTAATCTCAAAGTGTGCACTTTTCCATGGCCCTGACCTGTGCAAGTGTATAATTTGCTGAAAGCAGCAAACCTGGAGGTTGAAAGCAATCTTCTAAACTGAATGTCCACTATAAATAATGAACACAACATTTAGATATTGTTTGACAAACAATGATATTTGTAGTACTGTTTGTTGTCTGAGTCAGTTGTGGTCTGTTGAAATCAGTGACTTAATTTCCTTGTAAGCTCTTAAAGATTTTTGTAAAGTATCCTTCATTCCTTACCCCATGTAATACTTTCTGTGTATTCAATAAAGATAGGGAAAAGCCCTCTGTTAGGGACAGATATACACAGACAGACAGACAGACACACACACACATAGAGTCATACAGCAGACAGATACACAGGATAGACCAGCACAAGAACAGATTAACAGATTCGCACAGATTCAGATATATGCAATGGTCAGAGAACAAAAGACACCAGAAGCATGAAGTGGAAAATTCAAGTCTGGACTTGCTTTGGTTAAATGACTCCAAAGGGAAGTTCTTTTATTTCTTTCCTTAATGTGATATTGATGCATTATTGGTGACTTGGAGTTAATCACTAATTTGTTTAATCCATGCACTACTTGAAACTGCAAACCATCCTTCAACCCTTCCTTTTCCCTCTGAGCATTTTCTACCATCTAACACACCTCAGAAGCAGCAAATTAAGATGTAAATTAATGATTGATAAGAATAAACAAAATTGGGCTAGAGAAATGTCTCACCCAAAATAATATGAGAATAGAATCGTATAAAATTGAAAATTAATAAAGTCCTAAAATATTAGTTAAGTTTCATTTGCAAACAATGTAGGGTGATTTAAGAGAAAATAACACAATTTTGTAGGCTGAACAGAGCTCATTTACAAGGTTGAAGAAAAAAGTAATGACATTCAATATCACTCACATAGTTTATATTATATATATTTATAATATAACATATTATATCCTAACGTATTAGCAAAACCACATACCAAATTTGTTCTTCACATAAAAATAACACAACCTATTTTCCTATGAAATTCAACTCAATACTACATATTTACTCAGGGCTTTCATGTCTAGAAGACCTAATTCTCATTTGGCTGATGTATCATTTTACTAGATAGTGAATATTACTACAACCCCGTGATGCAGAGACTGACTACTAATAAGTTCTCACCCCAATTTTTGTGTTACTTTTCTTGTTAGCAGAATAAGGCTAAAATTTCCAGCCTGCCTTGGAGCTAGTGTGACTATGGTAACAAATAGGGTTGGTGCAGTGTAGCAGCTTCCAAGAATCTTTTTCCCTTAGCCCTTTGTTCATCCTTCATTCTACACTGTTGATACCCAGAAAAGACAACCAGAAGTCTGGCCTCCAACTTGAATCTTGAGCTTAAGAGTCAGTCACAAAGAATTGTTCTGGTGGTAGCCTCACCCCAGCCCCTGGCATCCATAGACCCAGAGTATGGATCATTCTGGTGGAAGCTCTACCCCAAGTCCCCTACCCCATCTCTTTCCAAATCCTGCTGCATCTCAGAAAGTCAGCCAAATAATGACCCCTACCTTATAGATGCTCAAGATCACTCCCATGGGGCACTTAAACTGTCCCCCCTCAGAAAACAGACATGTGATTTTCCAGTATTCCTTTCCCATCTCTTCTATGGGGCGGGGGGGGGGGGGGGGGCTGAAAATCATTCAGGAGTATTTTTATCCATTAAA